CTGGGTTTGCTGGATGGTGCTGAGATCTTGGTCCTTTGTCAGGCTCTGGGAAGACCCAGGAGTTCCAAGAATATGGCACAGGGTCAAAATCCTCTGACAAGGGATTAAAATGCTGGGACACAGATGTCCAGCAGTCCGAGCAGCTCACTGCCGAGCGTTATGTCCCTGCTGTGGGATTCCACACCACCTCACTGAAAATGTGCAAGGACGGGCAGGTTTCTGTCTCTGCAATTCAAGAGCAAGCCTCTTTAGGGGCCAGGGAGCTGCTTGGGGGACTTGTCTGCAGATCTCTCAGCCTGAGGTCTGTCCCTGGTACCCAGAGGGAAGTGGTGCTGAGAAGGAGCCTCAAGGTCACCATGGGCCCTCACCCCCACCCCTTCCTGTGCCTCTGCTTCTTCGCTGGCCCTTCTCACTGTGACACACGCTTCCTCCCCCAGCAGTGCTGGTCCTCTGAGCCATGGAGGCTGTGGCTGCCATTCCCCACGACAGCAGTCTGGTGCCCTGTCATTGCTGTCTGCTGGTAAGGGAGGAAGTAGCTAATGCTCTCCCTGGCCGCCCTGCTGGCCTCATCATGCCCATCACACCAGTTTCTCCCTGCTGACAGATTTTATTAGTAACAAAAATCAAACAGCTGGGGCGCCTGGGTGTCTCAGTCGTTAAGCGTCTACCTTCTGCCTCAGATCCCAGGGTCCTGGGATGGAGCCCTGCATCAGGCTCCCTGCTCAGCGAGAAGCCTGCTTCTCCCTCTCCCACTCCCTCTGCTGTGTTCCCTCTCTGTTGTGTCTCTGTCAAATAAATACAATCTTTAAAAAAAAAAATCAAACAGCTATAGAGAATCTGTAAAAACCCTATCAGACCAGAGAGCAACTTCTCGAGTTCCCTGAAAAATGTCTCCTTCCTTCCCTGCCCTCCACACTGCTCCCAGATCCCCACTCAACACCCTTCAGAGAGGCCCACCGGCTACCCGCCACAGAGCTGTTTCCAGACTCGGGGGCTGGGCCGGGCTCCGCTCTGGGAGGTGATGATAGGGTTGCCCCGTCAGAACCTGCCTCTCACCCCTGCTGCACTCCCCTGCCTCCCCCCACCCCATGACAACAGCACCTGGGGCTGCTCACGGGGGAAGGTTGTTACTGCTGGCTAGCCATCCTAATCACTTTCTAACAATATTGGGAGGCTTTATCCGAGCATTGAGTGAACACTTAGAGTGTGCAAATTGTGGAAGGGAGGGAAAGGGAATTAGAAACAGAAAGCATGAAGTGGCTGTCTTCTGATAGCCCACCAGGGAGACCACCCACAGGGTGGAGAAACCCTCGGAAGGGTATTAGTGCCCTTATGAGCGAGACCCCACAAGCTCCATCACCCCTTTCTCCAGGTGAGGACACAGCAAAAGACAGGCATCTATCAGCTTGAGAGCAGACTCTCCCCAGACACCGAATCTACTGGCCCCTTCATCCTGGACTTCCAGCCTCCAGAACCCTGAAAAATACATTTCCATTGTTTATCAGCCTCCCAGTCTGTGGTGGTCTCTTCGAGAAGCGTACATGGACAGAAACACTGTCTTGGGGTGCCTGGGTGGCTCAGTTGTTAAGGTGACCTACCTTCGGCTCAGGTCATGATCCCGGGGTCCTGGGATCGAGCCCCGCATCGGGCTCCCTGCTCTGTGGGAGGCCTGCTTCTCCCTCTCTCACTCCCCCTGCTTGTGTTCCCTCTCTCGCTGTGTCTCTCTCTGTCAAATAAATAAAATCTTAAAAAAAAAAAAGAAAAAAGAAACACTGTCTTGCTGGGCTTGTCAGGTCCTTCCTTTTCTTTGTTTTTAATTCAATATATTGTTTCTCTTAAAATCGTGTCTACACGGTGTTACTATATGTCTTACAAGGAGATAATGTGTATTTTTGGACTGAAGTGACCTACAGTGTGATACTCTCTTTAGGCGCACAACAGAGGGATTGGACAATGCATGACTCAGTGCTCACCGCACTAAGTGCAGTGACCACCCGTCACCGCGCAAGGTGACTATAGACAACACTGTTGGCTGTACTTTTCATCAACTTTCCCTCTGCTGTACTTTTCATCCCTGTGACTTATTTTATGACTGGAAATCTGTGCCCAGTAATCCCCTTCACCTATTTCGCCCACCCCTCCACCCCCTTCCCTCTGGCAACCACCAGTTTGTTCTCTGTTTTGTTGGTTGATTCATACTGTATTCTAGATTCCACATATGAACAAAATCATACGGTATTTGTCTTTGTCTGACTCACTGCACCCTCTAGGTCTATCCATCTGGTTGCAAATGGCAGGATTTCCTTCTTTTTTACGACAGAGTAGTAGTGGTCTTTTTCTCAATGCTGTTAGTTCTTCCTACGTGGTAGTGCCTGAGGGAGTCAGCTGACAAGATCCTCCCTCCATACTTGGGTCCGGATGCCTTTAGCACATGGTCAACCACCCTCAGAATGTGGAAGACACTGGCTCTGGGTCTGGTTTTGCACCCTAGATCTATCATCTGAACCCACCAGGAGTCAGGCAGCTCTGTGTTTACCCTCGCGCAAGAAGACCACAGAGGGAAGTCAGTTAAGGGGAAGACAGCGGAGTCCTAGGGTCACCTCTGAGGACATCTCACGCTCTCAGACTGAGGAGCAGCTGACCAAAAAGGGTGATGGCTTTGAGGAAACAGGAACGCAGACAAGCTGCAGTTGGAGGGACAGGCATGGAAGCGTCTAGACAGCAACCAGAGGGACCTCTTTAAAATATCACCAGATCACACTGCTCTGTTTTTTGCCTCAGATTTTGTTACACCTAGAACAAAGTGAAAAGTCCTTCCCTGACCCACAGGGTCCTCCAGGACCCAGCTTCCCTCCCTCCCCTTTTCCCTGTGCTCCATCATCAGCCCATCATTAGGCTGCCTCCCACTTCAGAGCCCCAACACATCTTGTTCCCTCTGCCCAGAGCATGTCTTCCCAGATATCTCCCACAGCTGTGCTCCCCACCCCATATCCAGTCTCTGCTCCAGTGTTACCTCTCCAGAGAGGCCTTTCCTAGCCTGTCAAGTGGAAATAGACTCCACACCCTAGAGCAGAAAGCAGAATCCTGCCACCCCCACCTTCCCACACCAGGGACCCCTACTTAAGAGCCTTCTCTAAATGGAACCCGGGTCTCTCTGCTTTCCCCTCATCCATGCGGATGCACCTGGTTACCACACTGAGCTGATCTATTCCCAGAACAAAGAGACCTGCCTCTTTGGCACAGCCTGATTCAGGCAAGGTGGGTTCTCCCCAAGTTGACTGAAATGTTGAAAAGTGCTCCCAGACCTCTTAGGGGTCCAGGGACCTGAGGCTGGGGCCTGGCAGCCAGGTGAACAAAGACACCGGTAACCAGGAGGTGTTTAAATAGAAAACATTCCCAGAGAAAGAAGAAAAAACAAAGATGCCCTGTGACAAGAAGGCTGAAGAACAGTAAGACTGAGGGCTGAACCTCTCTGAATATGGAGAAGAAAGTCGCCTGAGGGGGTCTGAGGGAGAAACAAGGACAGAGAAGTTACTGAAGAAAAAAAAGACATGATGGGCACTAAGGAGGGCACCTGATGTGATGAGCCCTGAGTGTTATACGCGACTGATGAATCATTGAACGCCACATCTGAAACTGGTGATGTACTATGTCGGCTAATTGAATTCAAATCAAAAAGGAAAAAGGAAAAAAAAGATAAGAAATTGCGAGAGCTGGGAGGCCTCCAGTTGCTGGACCTCACTTTTCTGATGCAAACACAGCAGCGAAGTCAGAGTGGAGAACGGGAAACCTGCACCTTGCATAAGGGAAGACGCAGGAAGGACGGGGAGGGGGCTGTGTGCAGGCAGAAGCTGCTGAAGGGAAGCAGGGTTTGCTCAGGCCCTAAGACTTCCGCGGGTTGGGAGAAGGTAGCTGCCCTGCCATCAGAGGATGTCGGGGCTTCTGCTGAGACCAACATCAACGACGTCCAGAAGTGCAAGTGGACATAACCTGTGAACAATGTTTGCGCCCAAATGGAGTCGACAAGCCTTTATCTGCACAATCAGACCCCAACAGCTAAGATTATGGTAGCTCATTTGGCAGCAAGCAAGTCCTGAGCGAACTGCCACGAGGCCATGTAGTCTTTTTTTTAAGATTTTATTTTATTTGATAGAGAGACAGCGAGAGAGGGAACACAGGCAGCAGGAGTGGGAGAGGGAGAAGCAGGCTTCCCGCTGAGCAGGGAGCCCAATGCGGGGCTCGATCGCAGGACCACAGGATCATGACCTGAGCTGAAGGCAGGCGCTTAATGACTGAGCCCCCAGGCGCCCCGAAATTTTTCTTTTTTTTTTTTAAGATTTTCTTTATTTATTTGACAGCGAGAGAGTGAGCACAAGCAGGGGGAGCGGGAGAGGGAGAAGCAGGCTCCTGGCCGAGCAGGGAGCCCGACGCGGGGCTCGATCCCAGGACCCCGGGATCGTGACCCGAGCCGAAGCCAGACGCTCAACGACTGAGCCACCCAGGCGCCCCGCCATGTAGTCTTTCCATAACCCGCTTCGGGGACTTTTCGGTGACGTCGCTGCAGAAACGTGAGCGCAGGCTCCCCGGAGCGCACAGGATCAGCTCGGGGCCGCGCTTCTGAAATCCCAGAGACTCGCGCGCCTGTGCTGGGGCCGTGTGTGTGCAGGGCGGGGAGCGGGGCCCCCCGCGCCGCCCCGTCCTCCACGAACCGAGGGGCAACGCCGGCGAGGCCCAGGAGGCTCGGCACAGCTCCGGGCGGGCTGGGGCTGCTGCGGCCCGCACGTAGCGTTCCTTTCGCTCGTGCACGCCTCAGTCACACATCGGGCGCACGTCGGAAGGCCCCGCAGAGGCCGTCACGAGCCCAGGAGTCTCAGAGCAGCGCGCTGACTGCGACAGGAGAGGAGACAAACGCACGCGGCTACCAGGGACCCCGCCCTCCCCTCCGGCCCGCCCGCCCTCGCTTCCGCTTCCGGCCGCGGGTGGGCGGGGCTTTTCCGGCCGCGGGTGGGCGGGGCTTCCGGCCGCGGGTGGGCGGGGCCGGAAGCGGCGGCGGCGGCGGTCTCAGGGGCCGGTCATGGCTGCGAACCTGAGTCGGAACGGGCCGGCGCTGCAGGAAGCCTACGTGCGGGTGGTCGCCGAGAAGTCCCCGACTGACTGGTGGGCGCCGCGCCGGGCGGGCCGGGGGGCGGGCCGGGGCGGGAGGGGGCTCCCGGGGCGCCCGCGAGCCGCCGTCCCCGGCGCCGTCCCCAGCCGCCCCGCCGAGCGCGAGGGGCCCGCCCCCCCGCCGGCCTCCATGTTGGATTGTGCGGCGCGCTGGGCGGGCGCCTCGCCAGGTTCTCGTTCCCTGCCGGCGCTGGCCCGCAGCAGGCGGCTCCCCGCAGCCGTCCCTGACCGCGCGGAGGCCGTGCGCGGGGTCTTCCCGGCGCTGCGTTCGGGGAGGGGCCTCTGAGCGCCCCGGGCCCGCCTGCGAACGGGGCCCTGCCCCCCGGGCGGCGGAGCAGGAGGTCGGGTCGGGGGTTTGGTGTCTGGGTTCCCGGGAGTGTGGGCTTCAGAGCCTCCGTCTCTCCGAGAGTAGCCCTCCCTGCGGGAGGCGAGTGACGCCGCGATGCCGGCCGCCTAGTTGGACAGAGGCCCCGACACCCTCCCCTGGGCCGTCAGCGTGGGTTCCCCTCGCGCCCTCGGCGGGGCTCTCGGGCTCCGGGAGCCAGGTCTCGAGCCTCCGGGATGGCCCGGGCAGCCCGCGCAGCCCGCGCGCAGGCCCGGCCCTGCGCTTGCTTCGGCTGTCCGCACTGGCCAGCTCTGCGCGCTGCAGGCCTAAGAAGGATGCCGAGTACGGCGAGCCCGGGTGACCGGCTGTGGGGAGCCTCTTCCCGAGGCCCGGGCCGGCCCCCCGCCGGGTGACTGCCGCTGTGCCTGGCCGGTCTCCGCGCGCCGGCTCCCTGCGGCCTTCGTGCCGTGTCCGGTTGCGCCCTGAGGATGTGCGCCGGGCCTTTTGGCGAAGAGCTTCGGAGCCCTGCTGCCTGGGTGCGCAGACCCCTCTCGGGCCTGGGACACGTTGACCCAGACGGGACTTGTTGCGGGGGAACCCAGCAGCTCCTCTGTTGGGAACCCAGCCGAGTACTTGGGAAGGGGGTCTGCCAACCAGCGGAATTTCCCTACCTTCTCTTTCTCATAGTGCTTTGGGAAGTTCACTCACGCCTCAGGCACTTCTTTTTCTGAGCGTTTCTAGATGTCAGCTCCCCACCCCGCCTCCCTCCTGTTCCCAGGGGGCCGTGACACCTCTTCTGTTACTCCAGAGCCACGCTGAGCGCCCCGTTTCACATCCACCGCGGCCACCTGCCTTTGAGCTGGCAGCGTCTCCGCCCCTTTCCAGTCCTGCTCAGTTGGGCTGTTGCTGTTTTATGCGCTCTCGAGTATCTGGTGTGGCCCTTTCCGATGTACCTGCGAGACTGCTGGGCCTCCTGCCTTCCTTCAGGTCTCTTCACTCTCAGGGACCATGTCCCACAGCCCAGCTGGCAGCTCAGGCCTCCCGTGCTCCTAGCTTTGCCTCGGGCTTCTTCTCAGAGCTATGCTCCCACCCTGGTCTGAAACTTACCCGGCCCAGCTTCCCTCTGTCCCTCGTGAGGGTGCTGAGCCTCGAGCCCACCCGTCTGGCAGCACTCCAGATCACACCGCCCAGTGGCATGACCCCCGCTTTCTGCTCTCCCTGTCACAGCCATTAGGCGTCTCAACAGATAATGTGTGGCGGGTCCCCACTCCTTAGCGGAACAAGTATCTAGACCATGTCACTCCTGTGCTTACACTTCAGCGGCTTCCTGTTTCACATTAAAGCCCAGACATCTCACCTCTGCTGCAAGGCCCTGTGTGGCTGGCTCCGGACCCCCTCCCGCCACCCCTCCCACTTGCCACACTGTTTGCCACCACGGTGGCCTTCTTTCTCTTCCTCAAACTGGCGAGCTGCTTCCTCCTCAGAGCCCTTGCTCTTGCTGCTTCCCCATTCTAGAGCACCTTCCACATCGTCCCAGGGGGCTCCCCAAACTTCTCAGCTCGGACACTGCATTCTTGGAGAAGCCTTCCTCGACTCCTGGCTCCTTGTGTGACTTTCCCCAGACACGTGCCAGACACCTTCACTGGTTTTCCTGGCACCGTTCTCTGCACCAGAGGGCTGGGCCCTGCCTCTGTCCCCAGAACAGTCAGCAGTCAGCGCCCGGATGCACAGTGACCTGAGCAGGGTACCGAAGGTGTGGTAGAGGGTGCCAGCAAGAGGAGGTGGTCTCCGCTTTGGTGGGTCATGAAAGGTTTCCCAGGCAGAGTGGGTGGCGTCGGGCTGGGCCCTGAAGCCAGGTGGGGCGGGGAGCAAGTGTATCAGCTCTCCACCACGGGTCTTTGTCCCGGTTCCCAGATTGTTCTAGATTGAGGCACGTTTGTTTACCTCCAGCACCCACTTCACTACCTGACCGGACATTGGTGTGTGTCGCTGTGTTTCTTTTTTTGTTTCCCATTAGAAAGTAAGTTCCATGGTCAGGGCCTCTGGGGATTTATTGGAAGTTTCATGCCTGTGAGCAGCAAGGAGCAGCTTCTCAGTAGGTGTGTTTGGAAGAGATTAATGAGTTACAAGGCGCTCATGCGCCACACTCCATGAGCTGTGCCCAGGCCAGCACACCTCTCTTCCACGGTGATTTGAAAGAAGGATGGGAGTCCGTTGAAAGTGGGAATGAGCCTCTGAGCTGGGAACATTCACGAAGGTGGCTTAGGCTGGAGCCCTGGGTGGAGGGGAGTGGAGTTGGAGGGCAGGTGGCAGGCATGGAGCTTGGCTCTTACGAGCTGCCGGGTCCCTTCTTGGAAGCAATCTCTGCTCCCTGCTGCTTGTCTAGTGTCCCCGTCTTCTGCAGCCAGGGCTTGGTGGCTTCGAGATGTAAGGGCGGCTTTCCCCCGGGAGGAGGGCTGGCCAGGACCCTGGCCACCAGAATCTGCACGTCCACCAACTCCCACGTCTTATCCCTGTTTGTCTGCATGTTCCTTTTAGTGTCTCTCCTCAGAGACCTGTCCCCTCATGCCAACCAGACCCTCGGGGCCTGGGTCTCCTTTCTTCAGACTTTCTCAGGCTAGGCAGTTCTGCCCGGTGGCTTTAGCAAGGCTGTGGGGAAGCCGAGTGGAGGCTGATTTGGTTCCTGTCAGATTCGGGGTTTTTTGGGGGGTTGGTTTTTGGTTTTTTGTTTTTTGTTTTCAGATTTTATTTTTAAGTGATCTCTACACCCAGTGTGGGGCTCGAACCCACAACCCCGAGATCAAGAGTTGCACACTCCACCGAGTGAGCCAGCCAGGCGTCCTGGTTCCTGTCCCACTCCTACCCCGCAGCCCCTAGCTGGCCCTCCTTGGCAGCCTGTGCTCAGAGCATGGGGGATGGCCCGCTAGTTCGGGTTCTGCCTTTGACTTGCTATCTGCTGGGTCAGCACCCCTACCCTGTGGTCTGCCAGCACTGCCCGGAGCTGAACTGCGGCAGAGTTGGTGTTGATGGTTGGGCTCCATGTGGACTGTGGATAAGCCATATCTTCCAGAATGTTCTCCATGCTTAACCTCTGTTCTGGTCAAGGGACTTCCCATGCCCCAGGTGTGATAAAATTTGCCGTATTTCCTCAACTCCTCTGGGGCTCCAGTTCACAAGCGTGAATCTTTCCCAGAGTTCTTAGGAATAATTAGTCTCACAGGAAAAGAAAGGGGCAGCCCAGGGTCACCTATGGAAAGTTATGGCTCCTCCAGAAAGAGAACTTTGCCTAACCAAGGAGTCTGTCCTGTGAGAAGCCTGACTTCATGCTGAGTCATGGCCCGTGTGGCTTCTGGGTTTTCCAGAAGAGTCCCAAGCCCAGAGAGACCTGCTCCACCAACTCCTCAGGCTTTCAGAAGACAGAGCCGACCTGCACGAGGGCGTTGGCGGCCTTCCCAGCTGCCTAACGTGCACACTCGGCTTCCTGCTCCTCCTGGGGTGCTTTGGGTTCAGGAAGGTGCAGAAAATTGCCTTTATGAAACCTTCCAGCTCTGGGGCGCCTGGCGGGCTCAGTGAGTAGAGCATGCGACTCTTGATCTCAGGGTGGTGGGTTCCAGCCCCACGTTGGACGTGGAGCCTACTTAAAATCAAACAAACTTCACAGCTTAGTGTTCTCAAAGTAGACGGAGGCTCCCCTTCATAGGTTTGTCCCTCAGGAGAAGCCGCCCTGCAGAGCCCCTGCCTCGCAGGTCAGAGTGGGGCCCACGCTCCGCTCGTGGTTAGTGCGGGAGGGCAGCCGACCCCCAGAACGCAGGTCACAGAGCTAACATGTTTGTGTTTTGTTTCAGGGCTCTCTTTACCTATGAGGGTAACAGCAATGACATCCGTGTGGCCGGCACTGGGGGTGAGTACGACCCGGTGAGGCCGGGGGTTGGGGGGCATCAGGAGGCAGGTGTGGGGGAGGGGAGAGCATGGCAGCCGTCACTGCTCCCTGGCGGCCGGCATCTCAGCCATCACAGCGAACGGAAGGTGTCCCTGCGTGACCCTCCCCACAGTCGCGTCAGAGTTGGGGAGCCACACACCGCCTTGTTACTCAGCGAACACTCGGCAGTGCCTTCTCCGCTTGCCATAGAGTAGTTCCGGCAGCCTGTTCTAGAAAGCCGTTCCCTCGTCTTTTTAGGAGGATCGCAGGTGGCCGTGGCGTCCTGCGCCCTGCGGTGCCTGAGGCACCACCCCCAGGGCCGCTCACGGGGCTCTGTTGTGAATGCCCGGAGTGGGGGCTCGGGCCTGCCCCTACACTCCCCGCAGCCTGGGAGGGTGTGGGGGTGCTGATAAGAAGCACAGCCTCCGTGTCGGGACAGTGGCTGAGGAGGGCCTGCTCCCGCGCCCCCGTCACTCCCCCGTCTCTACGGGGAGGGTCTGGGAGCTGAGCCCAAGCGTGGCTGCAGGACAGTCCCACCTGCTCGGGCCCTTTGTGGGGTCCAGGCAGGCTGTTGCGGACACGGCCCATTTGGAAGCCTGGTGCCTAATTGGTAGCAGAAGTGGCATTTTTTATTTCCGGAACTCCCCGTGGATTTCATAGGAATGGTTTTTAAACTGGGGTGTGTAAACCATCACCTGAGGTCCTGTCACAGATGCACATCCTGGGGCTCCGCCCGCCCCCCAGCTCCTGTAAGTCCGCTTAATGGGAGCAGGACCGGGAGTCTGAATCTAATGCAGGCGGCCCTGACAACCCTGGTTCAGAGGCAGGTTGGGTTTCCCTTGCTGTGGGCGCTGTGCGGGGCCGGCCACAGGTGCCGGGCCCGCTGACCCTCCACCCCATGCCTGCTGCAGAGGGGGGCCTGGAGGAGATGGTGGAGGAGCTCAACAGCGGGAAGGTGATGTACGCCTTCTGCAGGGTAAAGGACCCCAACTCCGGCCTGCCCAAGTTTGTCCTCATCAACTGGGTACGTGGAACGGGGGGGCCCTGAGTTCTCATCTGGGTGTGACCCAGCAAAACTGCCTTTCCTTCTTTCCTTCTTTGCCTTCTGCGATTGGAGCGGAGGAGGATTTGCCTTCAGGGCAGCTCAGAGACGGTGAATGAACAGAAGAGTGGGAGAAGTCCTTGTGGACCCAAGGACAGTGGGGGCCTTGCCAGCCCAGAATCCCACCCTCCTCCCCCAAGCCCAGAATTGTTCCTACAAAATCGAGGATAGAGGACAGTCGCAGGACACCCTTGCTTTTGTCCCCCTTCAGAGTGGTCCTGAGGGAGCAGAGGGCCTGGAGAAGGCTCAGAGAGCATGGGACCCCTGGGTAGGACTGGGAAGTTCCGAGCCCTCCCCCCTCCCCCCGCTCCCAGCGGAAGCTGGTGGTCATCCTGCCTCAAGAACCTCCTTGACTTGGAGGTGCGGGGCTCGCTTTGTCCTCCACTTTGGGGTCGCGGTTTTCCCTCTGCTGGGCCCCCAGGGAGGGCAGCGGCTTTGCGGGTTTTGGGGGGGTCACACTGGGTGTGTTGTGTTGCAGACGGGCGAGGGTGTGAACGATGTGCGGAAGGGAGCGTGCGCCAACCACGTCAGCACCATGGCCAGCTTCCTGAAGGTGAGGCTGCCCCCTGAGGGCCTCCCAAGGTGCCTGGGTGTGGGTGAGCAGCAGTGGCAGAGCTGGAAGTGTGCCCACACCCCGATGCTCTCCCTGGACTCGAGGGCGTGACCAGAGGCTGCTGCCCAGGAGGCCACGCTGTGGCCAGAGCCACCAGCAGGCTGGCCTCCGCGGGAGGAAGGATGGATGACTGTCCGTTTCGAGCCCAGGGAGGATCATCTGCAGCTGGTCCTGGGACAAGGCTAGGCCCGGGCTTCTGTTGGTTTTGTGAGGGTTTATTCGGCCGTGTTGTCAGGATCTGGAGGAGAGGGAGAGTTGCGTGTGCCCAGCCACCTCAGCGTGCCTGGTCCCTTACGCGTTCCTTTCCAGCCCACCTTTGCGTGGATTAACATCAGTCCTCAGAGTGGAACCTCGTTTAGGTCCAAAAGCATTTGCGGTTTGCTTGTCAGGTCACTTTGCGTGTCTTTGGTTACTGGCAAAGAGACTCGGGACTTTGATTTCTAGTGTGCCAACACTTCTGCAGATAAGCCTCAGTTTCTCCATGTGAGAGCTGAAAGAGGATCCCGAGCTCATTGGGTGTTACCTGACAGGTCACGGGTCTGACTTCTGAAGAAGAAATTGGTGGCTGGGGCACCTGGCTGGCTCAGTGGGAGGAGCACCGACTCTCGATCTCAGGGTTGTGAGTTCAAGCCCCGGGTTGGGTGTAGAGATACTTGAATAAATAAGACTTAAGAAATTTTAAAGGAAGAGGAAGAAGAAATCGGTAACTTGCTTTTTGTAGAAAATATGTTTCCAGATCCTTTGTAAAGTTCGCTTTCATGAATCAGAAAGGGGCTCTCCGGTGCCTGGGCCTGCGGCAGGGGGTGTCCGGCACCTCGGAACAGGCCGTAGGCAGGGCCACAGAGCGCAGAGACCGCGTGCCCATGCTGGGACAAGTGCAGCGTGTTTGCCTCAAGGCGGTTTGTTGGCCTTGAGGAGAGTGAGCCTGGTTCCCAGCGGGGTGTCCTGACCTCAGCCTTGGGCAGCAGTTGTCCACATCGTGCACACTGAGGTGTGCATCCTGTCCTGTCCTGGAGTTGCAGTATCTAAGTGCTGTTCCGCCGCAGGGGGCCCACGTGACCATCAACGCACGGGCCGAGGAGGACGTGGAGCCCGAATGCATCATGCAGAAGGTGGCCAGAGCCTCGGGTGCCAACTATGCCTTCCACAAGGAGAGCAGCCGTTTCCAGGACACGGGCCCCCAGGCCCCAGTGGTGAGTGCTGCCTGGGCCCGAGGGTGGCAGGCCAGGAGCCAGCAGACGGGCTGGTTTCTCCCTCGTGGGGCTGGGCTCCTGCCTGCCTGGCTCCTGGTCCCTGAGCCAGATCACGGTGCAGATGGTGACCCCGGACCGGACGGAAGCCGGAGCTGCCCCCTGGTGGGGCAGGCGCTAGTGGGCCTGAGGAGCAGCTCTCTACCCTGCCTGGGGGTTCCACTGGCCGTTCTGGAGCCTCTTACAGCCCAGGGACAGTCCAGTCACGAGGCCACGGCACCAGCGTGTCCTGCACAGTCCCGGATGGTGGGCTCCATGGAGGAACTTGAGGTGGTGGATGGGCAGGCCCCTCCCAGTCAGGGGCAGACACGAGACCTCCCAGTTATGGGGAGCCCAGTTCCCCGAGGCACGGCTGGGGTCTGTGGAGATTTCTCTGGGCACTGCCACGGTGGTCAGCTGTCTGAGGCTGGTGGACGGGCTTCCATCCGCAGGGGCCTGGTGCAGCCAGAGACCCCCTCGGCATTGCCCGGCGGTTTCCAGGGCCCTTGGGCCGTCTTGCTGCTTGCTGGGCGCTGTCCCCACGGTTTTTGCTGGTGTCCTGCGCTCCCGAGGGCGGCCCCGTAGCGGATCCTCTGTTCTCCGCAGGGCTCTGTGTACCAGAAGACCAACGCCATATCTGAGATCAAAAGGGTTGGCAAAGACAGCTTCTGGGCCAAAGCAGAGGTGAGTGCTGCCAGGCGCATCGAGCACAGCTGCCCCTCACAGAGATTGGGTGGGCCAGGTGCCATGGAGCCTTGCGCGCCGTTGCTCGGTTTTTCTCCCCATAAACTCACGGGGGTGCGTGTGTTCTCGTACGCGCCTGTGCTTGAGTGGAGGCCGAGCGGGGTTGGGCCGCAAGGCTGGTGGGCGGTCCCTCCTGGCCGCTGCACGGATGCCCGGGGGGCTCCGGGGCTTTAGGGCAGGCCCAGCTGGCCCGCCCTGCGGGTGCTGAGTGGGGCAGGCGGGCCCGGCTGTCCCTGCAGAAGGAGGAGGAGAACCGCAGGCTGGAGGAGAAGCGGCGGGCGGAGGAGGAGCGGCAGCGGCTGGAGGAGGAGCGCCGGGAGCGGGAGCTGCGGGAGGCCGCCCGCCGCGAGCAGCACTATCGGGAGGAGCCGGGCGGTGAGGCCGGACCCCAGAGGTGAGGCCCCAGAGTTAAGGTGGAGGGAGGGTGCCAAGTGGGCCGCGGCTGGGCTGCAGCTCCCTCCTCCCTCTGCCCTCCCGGCAGGAAGAGTGAGCAGCAGGAAGTACTTCCAAGGAGCAGAGAGGAGCAGGTGAGACTGGGGTGCTCCCCCCACCCCCCCCCGAGAGGGTCTGTTGCAATAATGCTGGGGGGGTGTTCCTGCTGTGCCAGGGGGAGGGTCCTGCAGCCAGCTGGAGGTGGCAGGGGAGAGGACAGTGAAGGGCAGAAGTGGCTGGCGTGGGCCTCAGCCCGGTCCTGGACGAGGCCCGTGAGCCCCTCCTCACTGCCGGGTCCACGCGCACCCCTCCAGGAGCCCATCAGCCAGACAGCACATCCGCGCGAGATTTTTAAGCAGAAGGAGAGGGCCGTGTCCACCACATCCATCTCTAGCCCCCAGCCAGGTGAGTCTTCCCGCTGGGTCTAGCCACGAGGCAGGGGCAGGCTGAGGGGAGCCCGGGGTCCCAGTGTGGGGTCCCCAGAGGGAGCGACAGATGTGTCAGAAGGTGACAGAGGTGAGTGAGCAAGGAGAGCGTGTGCATTTAAGAGTGGCTTCTGGGAGGGGAGCCTGGGCCGCAGGTGTCCCTTTCCTGCCCGTGGCCTCAGCCTGCAGAGACCTGGAAAAGAAGGGCCACGTGTGGCTTCAGAAGGGAGACCCTCCAGCCCGGCCCCATTAACCCGTGGTGCAGCTTGCACGTGGTGGCTGGGCCCCGCAGCCTCCGTCACTCAGCTCTCTGGCCCCCAAGGACGCCGGACAGCAGCACCGTCAGCTCCCCCACGCTGGGGGGCTGCTCGAAGCGTTCTATGTGTGATGTGTTTCTGCAGCGCCTGTGTCCCCCGTTCCCCTCCGCCTCCGTCTGTGTGACAGCCCCTGTCCTGGGGCAGGTCCACCGTCCAGGCAGTGCAGGGTACAGAAACAGTGGACACGGCTCGTCTTCCCCTCGTCCAGCGCTGGTGTGTTTACCTTTGTTTGCAGGCAAGCTGAGGAGCCCCTTCCTGCAGAACCAGCTCACCCAGCCAGAGACCCAGCGCAGCACAGAGCCCACCCAGGCCTCCTCGAGGCCCAGGGCAGGCAAGGCGCTTGGCCACCCCGCGGGGGGGAGGCGGTGCTGGGGGTGGGAGAGCGGGAGGGAGAAGGAGGGTGTCCGCTCCCCTTACCGGGGCTCAGGGCGGGCTGCGCCGTCCCGTGCAGATACCCGTGAGGAGCCAGTGGCCGGTGCTCCGCTGTGTCCAGCGCAGGCAGAAGAGGAGGCTGTGTACGAGGAGCCCCCGACGGTGGGTCCCCTGCGGCAGGGCGCGGCTGTGAAGGGGCCATGTGCCCAGAGACACCCTCCTCGTGCCAGTCGTGGGATGCCCGACTCCCGACGGCTCGCTGCATGTGGAGTCTCGTTTACCGTTGGAGCAGGCCCGTGGAATACGTGGTCTGGCACTCCTCTGCCCCGCGGGAGGCCCGGGGTGGGGGGACATCGTGGGGGCAGTGGCATGGCCGCAGCCCCTGCCCTCTGTGTGCTGTGCCCCTCCCCCCAAGCCTGGTGTGAGCCCATAACGAGGACCCCGGATTTCTGTTCTCTCCACGCGGGTCAGGCGCAGCAGCAGGATGCCGGCTCTGAGCCCGCGGACCACTACCCGGGGCTGGGCGGTAAAGGGCTCTGTGCCCGGGCCCTGTACGACTACCAGGCAGGTAATGTGCGGTGGCCCGGCCACTCAGGCTGCAGGGCCCCACGTCAGGAGGCGGGCTTCAGGGCTCCCTTGGTGGGGGGACGGAAGGGTGAGGGCACGATGGGGTGGACGCCCTGCACAGCCCAGGCCTTCCCGTGCACTCCGGGCAGCGTCTGTGGGCAGGAACCCCAGTTGCCAGCGTTGTGCTAGAGCCCGAAAGTGTGACCAGAGGGGTGGGCGGACCTGCACGCCGGGCCCCCGGTGGCCTGGCTGCAGGCTCAGGGAGCAGGCTGCTGTGCGGAAGTGGGGGGCCCAGGGTCAGGTTGTGCTGGAAAGTGTGTCGGGGGCGGGGGGTGGGCGTTGGCTGCTGGAGTGGTGTCGGGAAAGGCCCCCAGCTTCAGTGCCGCCTCCCGCAGCTGACGACACGGAGATCTCCTTCGACCCCGAGAACCTCATCACGGGCATCGAGGTGATCGACGAGGGCTGGTGGCGTGGCTACGGGCCAGACGGCCACTTTGGCATGTTTCCTGCCAACTACGTGGAGCTCATTGAGTGAGGACCCTCCGCTGCTGGCTGCGCCGAGGCCGTCCTTCCCCTCCCCGCCCACACGTGCTTTCCTCACTGCCGGGGACGTGGCATCCGTGGTGCAAGAGCCCCACGGCACTCCTCCGGGAATGGGACCCCCCAAAGAAGACAAGCCCTTGGGCTCCCTCAGACTGGGGTGCTCAGCCTGTCACCCTAGATGCAGCAATACCCCGTGATTCCCCAACGTGCTCCGGCAGCTGCCGGCCCTCCCAGCCAGCCTGGCCTTTGGCCCCCACAGGGGACGTGGAGCCAAGCCCTGCTTGGCCGGCCCCTCCGTGGCCTCTGCCGGAGGAGGGTGGCGCTGCCCCACCAGGCGGTCTGAGCCGCGGCCTTTGCCTTTTTTTCCCTTTCCTCCTGGCTCTAAAGGGTGGTGGCTCCAGCTGGTAGTGGTCCTCGGGAACGGTGACCTTGGCGTTTAGGACCAAAATCTGAGTGGGTCGTGACGGTTTGGGCAGCAGTAGGTCCCCTTTCTGGATCCCGCCCTGTGCTCTCAGTCCCCTGTCCCTCTGCCTGGGCTGCGGACTGTGGGCAGTGGGCACAGGGATGACCGAGCCCCCGTCTGAGCGTATGGTCAGCAAACCCGTGTCCTTCGGAGTGGAGCGCCCTGTTCCGCCGGCCCTGGTGTGTGCTCCACCGGATTCTGGTTCTGGAAGAGGGACCGGAGCGGCCGCTCCCTGCTCTCTCACCCTGCCTATCCCGGCCCACCCGTGTCTGCTTTCAGAGAGAGAACTTGCCGTGTTGTGGCCTGAATGCCCCCGTGTGGAAACCGGCCCCTTCCCGGGTATGCGTGGGCGGTGTGTGCAGGTGCGTGCGCGCACACACACCCCCAGACCTCGGGCGGCCGTGGGCCCTGGAGGGGCATAAACGTAAAGATGTGACTCGAGTCGTCTGTTGCATGTCCGCGTTCTGGGAGGGGCTGAGGGCCGCCCGCCTGCCCGCGCCGGGTGTGCGTGGAGTGTGAAGTGAGGTGCCTGGAGCCCACCGCGTGCCGGGGCTCGCGGTTCCTCTTGTGCTCTGGCAGGTGCCAGGTAGCAGCAGCCTGGCGTGGCGGCTGCACCAAGGAGACCGCTGGCCCCGGGTGGTGGCAGATGGCCCCTCTTGTCCCCTGGGCTGCGAAGGCAGGCCTCGCCAGCCCTGATTCTCTGCCCCCGAGCTGCGGAAGATCCCGGAGTCCCCTGTTGCAGGCTCTGAGGCCAGCGGTGGGCTTGACCTCAGATGTGGGGACGCCCGGGGTGTGGGGCTCGGTACCACCTCACCTTGCCCACCCTGGGGCTGCAGGGACGGCAGAGGACAGCCCATCTGAGGGAAGCGGCCATGAAGTGGTGTCCTCGCTGCAGTCCCTGCTCACTGGGGAGAGCTGGGTCACCCCAGGCACCCCGATTCTAGAGCGAGGTTACCAGGGGGTGGTTCGGTTCCTGGCGTCACCATAGGGGGCCTGTTAGGAGTTACCTGATAGCCCAGCTTGGGGACGAGACTCCTGCCCTTGGTTCCTGGGGCCCTCTCACCTAATGGGGGTGGGCAGCAGGGGCCGCATGCCCTGGGGCAGGGTTCGTGGAACCCCTAGCTCAAGGACTCGGAGCCGGGCATGCCGGGCCACGCTGGACTCGAGGTGGTAGGTGGAGGTGCCTTTATTGCCAGAAGCCCACCCTTCACTTGGCCTTGCCCTGGGCGGCCACAGCCTCCATGGCCTTCCTCACGGTTTCCTCATCACCCAGGAACCGCATGGGCTTGGTGGGCTTCAGCGCCTGGTCCAGCTCGTACACGATGGGGATCCCCGTGGGCAGGTTCAGCTCCATGATGGCCTGGTCCGACATCCCTGGACCGGGGGAACGGGGTCCTTAGTCCCCTCGGCCAGTGCGCCAGGCAGCTTCCCGCCCTCACGTTCAGCAGGCCCTGTGACCTTTATGGGCCACAGAGCCGGGCCAGCCAGGCAGCAGCCCACCCCCCCCCGCCCACAGCGAGCCCCCCGCACAGATGCCCCTGGAGAAGGTCAAGCCGGTAGTGAGAGACCGAGTGGCCTGCAGAAATAGCCGTGGCAAACCGGGACCTTGTGCCCCCAACCAGGAACCACTGGGACCTGGGGCCACGCCATTGGGTCTTTTCGGTTTGGTTTCTAGAGCGTTCTAAATTCTAGCCATCAGGAGCAGGGGTGCTCCTGACAATTGGGGGTGGAGGGACAGCGAGAAGGGCTTCCTGTGACCAGGGTGGAGGGGAGGCTCTGTGGGTGGAAAGGGAAGGTTTCCCAGGGAAACCTGACCCTGCCGGCCTTCGCAGCCCCTGGCCTGGAATAGCAGCTCGACCTTTGCAGCTCCGACACCCCCCTCCCCCCCCAGCCAGTTCTCCAGGCAGTGGGAGACTGCAGTGACGCTGGCCTCCGTGCTTCTCTCCCAGATCCGGCCCCTGGAAGGGAGGGGCACAAGGTGGTCTTGGGGAGGGTGGACGGGGGCTGGGCAGGCCTAGGGGGCCCGCCTGTCTGTGTTCTGGCCAGCTACCCACTGACCCCCAGAGCGGGGGGTTTGGGGCTCCCCACCTACCGGCCTTCTTCCCCTTTCCACAGTCCCGAGAAGCTTGAAGGCCGTTGGAGGCTCAGACTCCCAAGGATCTGTATGTCTAAGGGAGCCCGGTGGAGATGCACGCCCCGAGCTCCTTAGTGGGAACCCAGCTACAGGCCGGGGTCGAGGACTGCTCCACCCTAGCACCCTCTTAACTGGTCTTACCTTTTCCTTGCGTGGGTGTGAGCTGGGGTCCCCTGCCCTGGGCCTCATGAGGCCCCCCCCGCCCGACCCCGGAGAGGGTGGTTGAGACCCAGCGAGTGGTGTGACTTGACCAGGGCCACACAGCAAATGGATCTGGAGCCAGACGGCCCTGCCTTGACCCCGGGCGGCCTTGGGCACGGCCTTCCCATCTTTCCCAGGTTTGTGGCCAGGAAGCCAGGCCAGCCCCAGGCCTCTGGACCCCGGGTCGGAGCAGCAGATGTTTCCACCCACATCCTCCAGAAGGAAGCTCGTATGTAATGTCCCAGTACATAAACAAGTGAAACAAAAATTTTACAAAGTGGGTTTTTTAAGTGGTTTCTCAGTCCTCCCAGTTCAGTTTGAACTCTGACCCTGAGTGTTCATGTGTGCAGAGCTGCCTGGGCAGGGGCCTTGTAGCTGAGATGAGCATTTGGGGGTCAACCGGTTCAAGGGCATGTGCCCCGTCCGCCCCCCAACCTGCCTCCGCCCACACCCCCTGCAAGGATGGGCCTCACCTTCCAGGTGCTTGACGATGCCCCGCAGGCTGTTCCCGTGGGCCGCGATGAGCACTCTCTTGCCAGCCTTGATCTGGGGGGCGATCTCCTCGTCCCAGAAGGGCAGGGCCCGGGCGATGGTGTCCTTGAGGCTCTCGCAGGTGGGCAGCTCCCCGGGCTTCAGGCCTGCGTATCGCCGCTCCTGGGGGCGTCCACACTGCTGTTCCCTCCCCAGGAAGTCAGCCCCCGCCCCCCGCCCGGGCTGCCATCCCCAAGGCCCTGCCCCTAGACCCTCCCCTGATGCCCCAACAGCCCACCTTGCTGATGGAGTTGTTGTAGGGGTGCTTCTCATCCATGGGGGGCGGCGGGATGTCGAAGGAGCGCCTCCAGATCTTCACCTGCTCCTCCCCGTGCTTGGCGGCCGTCTCGGCCTTGTTGAGGCCCGTGAGGCCGCCGTAGTGCCTCTCGTTGAGGCGCCAGGTGCGCACCACGGGCAGCCACATCTGGTCCGTGCCATCCAGGATGGTCCAGAGGGTGCGGATGGCTCGCTTCAGCACCGACGTGTAGCAGATGTCGAAGTCCATCTTGGCGTCCTTGATGGCCTGAGCGCCCCTCTTGGCCTCCTGGGCCCCCTTCTCGCTCAGCTCTGCGTCGAACCAGCCACAGAAGCGGTTCTCCTGGTTCCAGGTGCTCTCGCCATGCCGGACCATCACGAGGCGGTGGGTGGACATGGTGGTGCTGGGGACCGCGGCGGGCTGCGGACGGGGACCGCGGCCTCCCAGGTGCACCCAGTTTTATAACAGTCTGTCCCCAGCCCCCACCCTGGCCAACTGCCAGTCAGCATTCCAGGCGGGACGGGCGGCGGCAGGTGGCCAGTAGCAAAGCTTGGGGGAGGGCAGGCCCAGAGCCGGCCTTAAAATAGCCCCAGCAGCCACCAGCGCCTGGGCCGGGTGGGGCTGCGCGCAGGACCGGGCATGAAGGGCAGGAGTCTGAGACATGCCTGAGAGGTGGGGCTGCCAGGGGCAGCACGGATCTCCGAGCACGACTCCTCTGTCCGGCAGGAGGGCTGATGCTGTGGCCTCAGGCAAGAGGCACATGCCCAGGCCCTTTCTGCTGGTCCTTGTCCACACAACTGGGGGCGAGCCTGCATTCCCCTAAGGGAGCTGGCCTGTGTGAAGGGGAGCCCAGGGGTGTGTGCACGCAGGCGCCTGTGTCTGCCCACGTACACATGCATGTGTGCACCCGTGTGCGGGCACATGCATGAGTGGTGTGTTACGTGTATACACGCGTGTCCGTGTCTGTCACTTGTTGCATGTGCATATGCGCATGCCTGTGAGCTGCCAGGAGGTTCCCCCAGGGGCTCTGCTCTGCTCAGCGGGGCGTGAGGGCTGCATGGGGGCTTCCCTCCCCCGCTCCCTCTGCCCTGCCCGCAGGGCGAGTCCTAAGGGAGCCTGTGGCCCATGGCCAGGCTGGGAGGGACCGTGACGTCACCTCTGCTAATCCCCTCAAGGGACAGAAGGGAGTGAAAGGTCAGGTCGCTGTGGGCAGGGTCAGGGGAGAGGGTGGGGGCCGTAGCCCTGCGGCAGGCGGTCCGGACCTGCAGGAGAGGGCACGAGGCGGTAGGGTGGGCAGGGGCCTGGGCTGAGCCGGGCAGAGCTGTTTCCAAGACAACCGGGGGAGATGGAGGGGTTGGGCCAGAGGGGAGCCGAGGATGCTGCCACACTGTCCCACCCAAGCCAGGCTTGCCCCTCCCCACTGAAACCACCTTTCAAAGAAAGAGAAATCCAAGAGTCATGCCCCCCAGAGGTACTGGTTGTTGGGTTCATGCCCAGCTCAGCAGGAGCACCCACAAGTGGGCCGAGGTTGAAGCTGGGGGACCAGACCTCTGCATTCAGATTTGGGGGGACAGGCTCCCCTACACCTCCTCCCACCCCACTGCCCTAGCGACCACACCCTTACCCTCTCAGGCTCCTGAAAATGGAACAGGGTGGGCGGGAGGCCAGCAGAGGGGTCAGCTACTACACTGAGACCTGGACCTGAGTGTGCGAAGCCCTGACCTCTCTCCCTCCAGCCTTGCTATCCACCCAGGGGACAGCCTCCCAGCTCTGGGTCCCTAAGATGGGGGCTCCACACCCCAAGGCCACCCTCCTAGCAGCGCCACACGTAGGCCTTGCTGCTCCAGCTCTGCCCTTGTTAGAGCCACATCTCCTATATAAGGTCTACTTTTTGTTCCCTTGGCCACTAACCAGGCCCTGGGGGCCCAGCAGACAGCCAGGCAGGAAGCTCCTGTTCAGTGGGGGACAAGATACAAGCAACTCAACAAGCTCTTCTCTTTCATCCCAGCTAGCAGGAACGAGTAAAAGGGGATAGGGAGAAATGGGAGAGCAGAAGGGGGCAGAGACGGCCCCTTGGAGGTGCAGCAGAAAGCCAAGGACTCGCCAGGACGAGTTCTGGGGGAGAGCACTCCAGCCAGAGGGGCGGCAAAGAGCCAGTCCCTGGGTAGAGGGGCAGAGGGCACAAGGGGCTGGGCTCTGCGTCCTGATGCAGATCCCTGGAGAGCTTGAAGCATGACTTCACGAATTTTATCTTATTTTGTTTTTAAGATTTCATTTATTTGACAGAGAGAGAGAGAGAGCACGAGCAGGGCAG